TTGTCCCATCTTGTTGGCTATCTGTAGCACATGCAGATGTAAAATGGTGTATGCCGTTGGTGGATAAAATAAATAAATTTGGAGATAGTTTTTTAATAGTGGTTGGGCGGTAGGCTGGGGCTGGGGCTGGGTAGTTTACAGTGGTGCATTCCAACAGCAAAACACTGCTGTACCACAAAGAAATAGAGTACACTTGCTACACCTTACCTAAGTAAAGTCCTTATTTACGAAATCTGGACAAATAATGGTTTCAATACTTTAATACTTTCTTATTAAATGGCAAACATACAAAGTAGGTATTTTAAGCCAAGTATGAATGGAGTAGGATGAGTGGCGCGATCTTGTAGTCTTGTTAGTGACTAAGGCCAACATTCCTTAGACACAGCTGTTAATTAATAGCCCATACAGCTAATGGCAACTAAGGGACCTACAGTTTATAGTGGAATCCGAACCACATTTTTGCCTTGGTATATACGAATTTGTCTAATTATCAGGATACAGTAGTACTGCGGATAGTCATAGTACTCACTCGTGCGGACCATAATCCACACCAGGGAGTATCGCATCCACAGTGCATGCCTATAAATATCCACAATTCGTGACCTCAGTAGCTGGATTACAGGACGACACGCCACCCGTCCCAGTCTTTAAATTATTTTGTTTTATGAACATGAATAAACGATTACGAATATACGATTGTTGTGTTTAGGAATACAGTACGTGTCGTAAACAGTAAACAAATTATGTGAACTAAGCTACGTGTAAGTGCCAGTGCTGGTGATTCATTGATAAGTGTTAAACACACAAGTCCATTGACGCACGACCTCATATCAACATTAAGTCGAGTGTCTCTAAATAGAATAAGGAACGCGTGGAAACTTATGTGATGACTTACTACCAACACTAACGTCATCCGTTGTTGAAAATCCTATACTTGTTTGATATAACGTTATGCTTGAATAAGCTGATGTCGACTTGTGATTTTCTTCTATAGGTAGATTTACTGGTTACTCTTCGGATATGACGTCAGAGGACCAATAAATTGCTTTTAAACCAGTTTAAGGAAGTTATTTTAGTTGATGGACAAACAAGACACAAATCTAAGTCATTAAACACCCCTCTATTTATTCAGGACGGAAAATATTACACCTGGTAAACTAATTAAAATCAGAAGGTTAGCATATAGGCCTAGCCTACGTTTCCAAATTTAGTGATGACTAGCTGTGTTCCCGTTCTACGCACGGGGATCTTATAGTGGTCAGTTCAAACCTTCCTATAAAAAGAACAGCAGTTGGTTTGCATATTTTCAGATATGCTGGCCAAACTATTATATATAAACAAAAACAGTATCTGACAGTTTCAAGTAAAAATACCCCCGCCGCAGCAAACCTGCAGACTTAGCGAATTTCCATTTGCCTGATTGGATTTACACTAAAATGTCTCCTTAAAAATATCACATTTGTTCCCTATTTAAACAGAATTAGTTTAACGAGTACTTAGGTTTGCTGCAACAGGGAGGGTAATTTTTTTATGTAAAATGTTAAAAGTTACTGTAGTTTAGTAAAAAATTATTTTTTTTCCGAATTTTATCAAAATATGTTCATAAACAAGCAAACTACAACAGTTGACTTATTCTCCATAAAAATAACATGGGAATTTTAAAATTACAATTTTTTTGAATTTTATGCGTAACAATTAGGCGCATAATAACGCTTCAATATACTAAATTATTTGTTTTTGAGCTCTTCAAAATGGTCTAGGAAGAAATTGTGAAATTTTGTGTTTTTAGGGTCAAAAATGGGAAAACCCTATTTTTACCCCATAAAACAAACCCCACATAAACCCCCGTTCCCATAGTCCGATCATGCTGGTTCGCGAACTCATTCAAGTTCATCCCGCCTTACACCTTCAAACTAAATTTTATCAAAATTGGACAAAAATTACTTAAGTTATCGTGCGGATGGACACATAGATATATACAAATTTGAACGAATGGTGTTTTTGGCCTCTGGGGACATCAAAATGAAAAAGTAAATTGGTCCCGGGCCTAGGTCCTACCATGAGACCTACGGTAATAGCTACTTCCCTATAGGGAAATTCTCTAAAATGCGTAATAGATCTATGAGGGAAAAAATGCAATTAAAAAGGTTATTACTTAAAGGCTTAATTCACTACTTTTGTATATAATTGAAATATGATTGAGGTACTTCGTAAATGAGACCTACTGTTTATGGTATAAATCTACAATAGACATAGTTTAAATTAGCAGTGGAATTTAAATTATGGTTCTAATAGTCTCAAACAAACATTCAAATTGCATTAATGATCATTTCATGATTTTCTTAGATTTTAATTCGTTTCGCCTATAAAGTAATCTTTGAAAGGTAAAAGGATATTGCATTGTTTGCAATACACCAGAGACAAATTTAAAACCTTATTAAAATTAACAATTCGCTTACTGGTAGGCCTAACCTCTATCATAAAAGAAAACTTTGAAGAATAAACTACGTAAGTTCTTTCTATAGATAAAATATAACATTGCTACCTGAAATATTTCTATCATTTCCCCTTACATATGTAGCTCACTATCAAAACAATACTCTTATCCTCTACATAGTCCGACGTCATTTGTTTGACGTCCGTAGTGTTTCTGACGTCATTGTCACGGTTGACAAGTTGACGCACGGTTGACTTAAGAGTTGTCAAGGTTTGACGCAGGGTAACCATTGTTGTATTGTTTTCACGTGAAACAGACTTTGTGATAGGGGGAGAGGAATTATATTAGAGCGTGCACTTGTTAAAGGAAATATCATTTATAAATGGTTTCAGTTTTGATGAGAAACGTTGGGTAGTGAAATGGACATAAATCTATTAAATAGATATTTATATAATTTGATATATTGGTTACATCTAGTCAGTGTTTTTTACTGGAAGAGAACGTACTCTCATAGGGCTAGATAGGCATACCTCTCTTGAAAGTTTATTATCCATTTTTGTTTTCCGTGCAGCTTTATTTTATTATTTACTCATGCTTTCAATTAACTATTGTATTTATATCTGCAATAATATACGACAGGCATAGTTTCATGGTCTTGTGAGATAACACAAACCCACTTAGCGTGTGGGCAAACTGTGGGAAGTGCTATATACTTAGCATTTACAACAGTAGACCCACTCTGTGGTCTTCTGGTCTACGCATATACTTGTGAATGAATTAAGAACCAAACCGCTGATTCTAGTTAGGGGTTTTTATTTACCATGGGATTTGTCTTTGAAATTGCCATCGTATAAAATATCTGACGCCTGTAAGTTTATCTCTTATTTTGGTGAAGAATTTACATAATGTGCTGTTAACTACCAGCACAGAATGATGTTCTTTATTTTATGCTATTAGTTCCAACGCGAGAGGATAAAAAGAAATTACAATTATTGATGAATAGTTATGGTTAAAATAGCTTTACAACAATAGTAACACTAATAGTACAATGAGTAAACAACAAAAACCACCTCTACATAAACTGAACAGAAGCATAGGCCTACTTTGAAATTATTGTCTTCAGCTAATACATAAGATTGATAAATATACAAGGGAGTATGCACAATCTACTGTTCCCACCAAAGTCCATTCAATTTAAATTAAGGCTTGTACTTCCTGCGTTTTATCGCGCAAACAACGTTGACGAAAAATGCAAATAACGTAAACAAACCCAATGAATACCGTTGAGGTGAATCACTGAACAGCTGTTAAATGAATAAATTATTAGTTCATTGTTGTGCCTAGAGAGAAGGATTTGTCGATAACTTCTCAAACGCAACTACACGTTTATTTAATTGATTAAGAATTACCAAACCAGTTAACATAAACCACTTGAATCAACTGATACGTTCCTAAATAATTTAGTGCTATATTTACTAATGGCTGCACTGCTGCTACAGTACAGTGCAGAGATGGACAAAAATGGTTTAATTTAGTATTTGTTTGCTGCATTTATTCACTAAATACGTACTAAAATTAGGTGTTTCATCAAAAAACTACGATAAAATTGTCTCCGGGTGATTGGAGAGTTAAAAAACTTCGGAAATTTTATTTTGAAAAAATCACCTTGCGGATAAATACTGGTAAGTTAATAAAACTTGGTCTTAAATAGTTTGTTTAAACTGAAGTTTTATGGTTTCTTTAGACAAAGATATGCAGTTCTAAATAAACGTAGGCTACAGTTTCCCACACTCATAAAAGGAAGGTTGTCCTCGCAAAAATATTTATATAAACATTATTATTTACCCCAAACATTGTAATAATTAGTCTTATGTCTTGTTTGATTTTACAATTATATGTAACCATGGCATTGTGAAGACCAGGTAGCCAGTAATTTTATTTAAGGTAATAGAACCTATGTATCAATGTATCCAACAAAATGAACTAATTTCAATTGAAATCATCCCTATTTTATAGTAAGTAAGCCGTAATGGGTTGGATTTAATTCACTGCCAATAGTAAAAAAATATAGGCCACTATTAATTCAAATCGACTTTTAAGTTACCCTCAGTTAATAAAGTCTTAGGTTTAAAACCATTGAACAGTAATAAACTCATATTCCCTTTCATTATTGTAAATAGTGTAGTTACCATCAGATATATATTCTTCCATCAAAACAAACGCCCATAAACATGGCTAATAGAATATTTTGCTTGGCCGTCTGTCGTGCTCAAAACGTTTACGTCCCAAATGTGTAAAATCAATGCTGCATTAAAGGCGTGTGAAGGGAACACTAGGACGAATTATTATGTGTTATCAGTTGACTGTAAAATACATTTTAAAAGCCATTGTTCAACATAAGCAAGATTTATGCGTATTGAACAAAATCCTATTAAATTGAACATTCAGTTTTACCTCTTTATAAATAAAATTTATAAATCGTAAATTGCATTAAATTTTAAAATTATATTGTAAAAACTGCCAACAATATATTTATAATCAATAAACAAATACATACACATACCATTTATTTACGAGTTGAGTGAGGAATGTTTGTTTATGTTATTCACTTTTGCACTTAATCACAACAGAACAAAACACCCACTATAACTATTCAGAACATAACAATAACTAAACTATTCAGACAACGTCACAGTATATAAAGGCGGCACAGTGGTAAATACAGGCTACCAATCTACAACCACTAAAACTACCGATACCAAATGCTGCCAAATGCAAGACTGACTGATTCAGTTTCGCTTTGCTGCTATGCTGTAGCTGTCATCTCCACAGCTGTTTTCTCGTTTTCTGGGCCGTCGTGCGTTGTCGGGTGAACTCGGACGGGTCCGATCCGAGTGATCTCGACTGTTCTCGGTTAATCTCGGTTGACCTCGGACGGGAAAAGTTAGCACCATTAGCACCGCCTGCATGATTTTAATAGTTAGTTTAGACAAAACATACTCCCTCTTGTGTTGGTTAGTCTATGGTTTAGATAAGTTGTTTAGTTAGTTTTTGATGGCGTTCTTTTCCGTTCGACGCCGGCCAGTCGAATCGGATCAAAAATTTCGTTGTTTCCTTCGCTATTTTTTTTATCAAAATTTATTTTACAATCTGTTCATAAGAATATGAGAACAATAAGTAAATTAAAAAAAAAATGGCAGGAAGCAAGCACCTGTTCATCAACAAGTCTTGCCAAAAATTTGATCAATCATTTAAAGATGTGAAATCTGTAGCTCAGGTCCAACACATGAACAACACTTTAAGTCTGATAATACACAGACTATTGTCCAGCAGAAAAAAACAGCAAGGCTGTTCGGATGAAATCCTAATTTTTCTTGGTACTTTTTGATATGGTCTGTAATTTCTTCTTTCGCTGATTTAATTTTGAAGTCATTTCTAATCAGCACCATCGATTAAACATACTGTTCTATAGTTGGTCTAATGGCACATTCTGTGAGTTCATTCAACCGTCAAGTATGTAATTGAATATTGAGTTAAATAATTTGAATTTTGCCACAACTGGTTTAAAGAGATAGGTGTGTTCACTTTCAACATAGATAAAACCTTTTGGGATATGCGGATACTTTTGGCGTTGCGTCTGATTAATGTTAACATAGGCACATGCACATGTTGTAAAATATCAACTTTTACGTTTGTAATGAACGGTAAATAAAATTAAAGCTATTATACACAAATATTGTTGAATAAATAAATAAATTAATTAATTATTACAGTAAATAGATTATACGTGTAGCTACATGTTAGGAATTCGGCCTGCTGTAAAAGAGAGGTTATTAGTTAAAGTGAGAAGAAGAATATACAGTTGAATAAGAATAATGTCAATGTCATTGTCATTGTTTCATTATATTATATATTTTTTCAAACAAATTAGAGGTTAAAAAGTCAAGAGGGTCAATATTTACTAGTTTGCACAATCTATTTCCAAAATCACTGTAAATAATGTTATTCTTTAAAAGTGGGGTGAGTATCTTAAATGTGACGTGTAAGAAAAGTACATTTATACCAGTATACCTTCTAAGCCTAAGCCAGGCAAATACGAAGAAAGGGGTTGGTAGATATAGGCCTAGCTCTCAGTGTTGTTGACCTATTTTACAATTTTCGTGAAATAACTCATGGTCTTTTTTCTATGTTTTGTGGTATAGGTTTTTTTATTTTAGATTTAAACAGTGGAGGCCGCCATCAGTTCTTCTCCTTGTGATTAGTTAAGTTAACTTGATGGTTAAAAAAAGGCAGAGAATACACGTCCGGTCCGGAGTTGATTAGGCGTCCGGTAGTTAAGTTACTGTCATAACCTAACCTAACTAACCTAACTTGCTGATGAAAAAATCGACTGTAGGCCTAGGTTAAATTCTGTTCATAAAATAAAATCATAAATGCCTCAAATTCTAACAAAAGATGTAGGGTCTGCAGTTAAGAAGAATTGGCAATCTAAGCAAAATAGGTATTTGACACAAAGTTAGTGTAACCGATGGGATTCGATCTAGGTACTGAGACATCTTGTACATCAGCCGAGTAAGTTGCTCTAAGTATACACTACACCACGAACAGCGATGGCTGTTCATTGTATCGTTGTGGTACTGGTAATGGTGTTCCGGGCCCCCACAACCCGGTGACGTCACTGCCAGACGCCTAATCCACGTTGAGTTACTGGATGCGTATCCTCTGCGTAAAAAAATTGGCATTAAGAAATACAATATTAAACTTTGGTACACAAATAAAGCAAAGGGCCTAATGCAAAGAGTGGGATTGCCTGAAACAAGAGATAAGTTAACTTATTCATTTAAACATTTCTAGATTGGGGTACGTGTGACATGAGATTTTTAAGTAACTAAATACTTAAAATAACTTAAAATAAACTTAAAATAAATTAAATAACTTAAAATACTTAAAATAAGACCTAAAATGCATAGTGCAATGAAAATAAACGGGAGAGATCATATTTAGGACTACCGCCTCCTAACCTAGGGGACTGGTGGGAATTGGGGTTTTTGGCATGTGAGAAAACACGATCTGAGGAAAACTATTTTAAAACAAACTTATAACCATTAGCAAATTCTTTTTGATGGCAGAAAATGCATGTTAGGATTGTAGGTTGTTCTTTATGTTAACCCTCCAAGTGTCTCTAGTTTTGGTCTTAATGTTCGCCCATTTATTGCGCAATCGCAGGGTTTTATTAAAATGTAGGTATCTTAGAAACCGAACTTCAAAACAATGTAAAGTAAACTGTTTTATACCGTATATAATTTTGTTTGGAAAATTATGGGCTTCAATGTAACATATAAAACATTACAAAAAAAAATGTTCAACAATTTTTGTGGAGTTAACTTCTCAAAAATTATAAGATAGGCTAAATATGAAAAAAATGTATGTTTGCGCTCAATAAATTGTTATGATTTATAGGTCTACAAATATTTTAAAATAGCCACTTTGTTCAGAATTTTATGAGGATTCCAAAAATATAATAATATAAGGAAGTAGCTTTGCAAATAAATAAGTTATGGGCAAAAAACAGATTTCGGTACATAGCGTATAGGAATGCATAGCCATAGCTAGGAATCTGGCTGATAATTTACATCAATATCACTACCTACTTCTTCAGGATCATCAACCAGCCCTTCAAAATCACTTAAATCTTCTTATAATGCACCACGTCTATATCACTACTTAAATCTTTTTCATAATTTATTAACTTGCTTCACTTCACCTTCACTTATGTTAGGAGTGAATGAAGTGACGCCATTGCTGATTGACAGATATGTCCAAAATATGTAATATTTAATCAGCTAGAAATATTCATTTGCGTTAAAAATGATGGTACATACTATAGGTCGACCGCCTAGAAAAGAACCTGCGCGCTAATGCTATTAGCGTTAGCGCGCAGGTTCTTTTCTAAGTGGTCGACCTAAAGGATTCAGGAGATAACTTAAACATAAGTTTAAAATAAGACATCAAGATTAAAAATTAGGCACATAATATTAAAATACAGGTACATGTATCCAATAAATACCACGTAGGCTAGAAGGCTTCTATCTCCTTAGATGAATGCTCACACGGTTGCACAAGAAAAGTAATGTTTCGCAACTGAACAAACATTTCTAACCACATTTCTCACACTTAACTACATTTGCAAATGTAGACCTAAACATGAAATCTATTATAAAAAGTAAAATAATGTATTTTCCTTTAAGAGCGACGGGAAAAAACATTACAGTTTGGTGATCTAGATGTAATTCTGCACAACTGCACAACCTCATGACAATATTACACTTAAAAATCCCATATATGTCCGTAAACTAAGAATTTACCGCTTGCTTTCTTCTTGATACCTCATGACCTATGTGACAACGGTATGACTTACTTCAGACATAAGATTGAACGGCAAGTATAAAAATAACTTGCTAGCGCTGATCATATTTTAATCCTATTGTTGAGTAAAAGTTGGATCATAAATCATTTGCCTGTTTATTTGCAGCGCTACTCAGTGAGGCTTTTTAGATTATTCTCAACTCAACACCAAGGATCATCAAAGCCACCTTCAAGTTCACCTCCTCCTTCATCTTCTAGTCCACCTAAGGTAGATGTTCCTGGACTTAGCTCCAACTGCGTTGTAACTCCTGTAGGAGGTTAGTAAGTTGTTAACTTTCACACTTTATTGTTAGCTTACACAACAGTGGCATTTGTAATAAAAGAATCACAAACACACATACAGTAGCCTACACTTTAGATGGAAAGCAGACTAAACCTCTAAAATTTTTGTAGATAGGCCTAACTTATGCTATTTATTTAACTTGTTACTCTAGCACTGAAGTACGAGTAGCGTACTGATGTACGCTATTAAAATTTACGCTTTGACTTAATAGGCTATTTTAGCCAAAGTCATTTAAGCATGGGCGTTCATCTGACTTTCTATAGGGTAGGCCGGTGGTTGGGGTACGAAATAAACTATGGCAACCTTTAACTCCAGGCCGCGGAGTTTGAAGTGGCATCACTGTCACTTGTGCTGTTACAGCTGTATTGTTTGGAGACAGCAAATAATGTGTATTTGTGTATTTTTTTTTAGAATATGCCTACAGAAGCTTGGTTACTGGGCTATTGAAATAGGGTACTTTCCTGTTATAGGGGACATTCATTATTATCGATGATTTCTTTTTGACATATCAATATTTTTGATTTCTTTTGCGATCCATGATTCCATCTTCAAACGCATTTAAATTAAAAATTGAGAACTAATCTTGTTTAGACAAAAATAATAGCCTATAGGCCTATATTGAATTAAGAAAATAAATTTAACAATTCTAAATTTAACAGCTTAAGTACAGGGGGGAGATCTGTCTGCGTGGTACTCGTTCCGCCCGCAGGCTTCACTTTCCTAAAGTGAGGCTTGAGGTTGGAAGAAAGTCATTTTCTTATTTTGGCCCGCAGTTTTATAATGGCCCCCCTCAGGACATAAAGAGCTCCAAATCCTGGCTCATTCAGGGTCGCAATGCAGAAAAACAAATGTATAAGTGTTTTTTCTTTGTAGGGCCTAGTTATTTTGTATATTATATTTCTGTATATATTAGGTTAGTTTAGTTTTAGTTTGACTTGAGTAAGTTTGAAAATCATTTATATGAAACTCGCTTGTAAATAAAGGCCTTTTTATTTATTTATTTAAGCTAACCTTACATAACCAACCAAACTTGCTGTAGGCTAAGATTAACATTTTAAAAATTCCGTGATAACAGAAAAGGCATATGGGGAACAGGCTATCAATCGGAATTTTGAAACGTTACAGCAAGTTTGGTTAGTTAGGTTAGTTTAGAACAGTTTCATTTTAATATACTGTAATATTTTTATATTGTTTGTTGATACTAAACAATATGTATTTATCCTTATCGTAGTTGTCAGCTGATTAGTTTCAATTTCAATATCAATAAACAAATATTAAAGAAATTAAGGATAATAACGAATGTTCCCTAACAGGAAAGTACCAAAAATAGTGACTCTTTTTTTTTGAATTGATAGAAAAAAAATTCAATTAATAACTTAATGTTTTGGTTTAAATCTTTTCAAATTTATATTCCATCAATTTAAATGAATAATACGTTATTAAATGATGAGCCGGAGTCACCCGTCTGCCATGTTAGCTTCCCCTTATGGGACGTCTGGTGCTAAACAGCACTACTTGCGATGATGCTAATTCTACCAGGCTGCGGCCTGGAGTAAAAGGTGGGTGTGAATAAACCCCAGTAACTTAGCAGTGAACTAAAGTGAGCTTAAGGTGGTCTTAGCAATACTTGAGTACCGTACGAAATTCCGATCAACGCACAGGCCAAACCACAGCACCTAGAAGCATGAGATTTTGCATAGGTACATATTCCTCTCGTAGCGTAGACAGACAATAAGAAGCAATTTTACAAAATTCCCAATGGGCCCTGCCCCACAGAAGGTCAAAGTTAGCATGGAGTTTGTATGGGAAGAATAATTTGTTTTGGGTTTTTGTTTACATTATCGCAGATGAGAACTATTTGAAATTACAGACGTTGTCTGCAATTTATTAAGTCTAATCTTCAGCTGTTGGAATAAAAATTAAGTTTACTAAGGTTATTTCGGACCATATGAACATCATAGTTGTGAAATTAACCTAATTTATTGTGGCATAATGGCGAGTTCGTTCCACCCAATAACATTCGCATCAGAGGTCATGGTGGTATTTATTTACATCACTCTCATTCATAATTCACCTTACATAGGCCCCTACATACATGCGAAACAAATGTTGAACACAGAGGAACTGGGACTACTTCTCAATCTTATCCCACGACAGTGACGGGAAAAATTACCTTAGTTCCAGCATAGATTAAAAGAAGTAGACACAGATACCCCACGAGATAGGGAAGTCGCGAACGTTGTATTTGAGCAAGTGCAGTCGCTGTTTTGGCGTTTCAGGTCCGCAGCGTTGCCAAGTCGTGCTGCGCAGGGACGGAAATTCCCTGTTTCCTAAGGAGTGAGAGAGAGAGAATGAATAGCAGTGGCGCGCAGCAGTAGTGTGTAGCGGCCCTCTCTACTCTCTACAGTTGACAATACACATGATACGACTTGTGTCCATGTCCATAGCATTTGAGCTACTCACTCCGAATATGAATATGAATTGTTTAATTTTTATTTCAGCCTGCATACGAGAAATATGTCTCGATTTAGATTGTAAAAGCAATATACAGGAAACTCACGTTATTAACAACTAAATAATTATTTTTATATTCGTAAATCTTACTGTATCATGATTTTATGGAACATAAAAAATGTTTATAACATTTGAACCATGTGAGAATTTGGGCATTTAAAACCAGGGCTAAATCATGAATATTCGTAATAATCGTAATTTTACTTGCAATATCAAAACATTTTGGTATAGACAACAAACAAAATGTAAAGTTTTCAATAATTTATTTTAATCAATCAAACTTTAAACAGTGCCACTATTGGAACGACTATATAATTTACTAGACCTACTTATTTACAGAATATTTATTATGAACAACAAAAGAGGACTATTAAAGAAAAAAAATCACGTCAAACTACAAGAATAAACAGACAAACAACAAACAAAATAATTGAAAACCAAACCATTATTTTTTGTAACAATTTATATACTAATACAATATAAAGTATACAATAAAAAATTTAACATATTTGTTACAGTCTTAACAATGGTTCCTTTCAAATTAACTATGAAATTTACTTTAAAAAATAGTTTAGAATCTGTACACGCAATTAAACAGCTTACTAATTTGTAAAACTTATTTACAGGATATTAGGTAATAGCTATTGACAACAAAGAAAATAATTGTTAAATTAATTGGAAACTGCAATACGGGTAATTTTTATTGATAGTATAGTCCTCGAACCATAAAAATAGCTGCGTGTTTTGCGATTTCTGGCCCACGATTTAAACGTCCTGTGTCTTGAAAACCTTCAAGCATAGATAAAAGGAGTAGAAGTACTCCTTTTATCTATGCTGGAATGAAGTCATATTTTCGGGTATACTCTAAGCCTTTTTTTATATACAGGGTGATTGATATAAGTGTGCCAGCTATTTTATTCGAAAGTTATAAGGGATATAACAAAATGTTAAACTGTAAATGCCTTGAATTTTTAATTATTTAAATTTGATGGTCAAGTTGAAAAATAATTAAATCTGCCATGTTTCCAACATGACCGCCAAGTTTGATTTTTCTTATTGGAGGACCCTATATTTTAGGATTGTTTTGGAAAGTAAATGCAATTAAAAAATGTTTTTATTCTTGGCATTTTTTCTCTAAAGCTACTTACTCGTTTAGGAGTTACTGCGTGTTACAACTAAGAAAAAATGACTTGCGGTGTTCATCCTGCATCATGTAGCCTATCTCCTAAACGACTACGTTTAGTGCAAAAATGCAAGGAATAAATATTCTTTAAATTGCATCTAGATTCAAAAAATACCATAACATACATAACATTGCATAGAATTGATTCCGTTGTTTCAAAAATGGCAGGAAATTTCAAAACAGGAAAACTGTGTATGTTATGGTCTTTTTAGAATATAGATGCAATTCTAAGACTATTTACTCTTTGCATTTTCGCTCCAAACGTACTCGTTTAGGAGCTACATGATGCAGAATGTACACCGCAAATCCGCAAGTCATTTTTTTAGTTGTAACACGTTGTAACTCCTAAACGAGTAGCTTTAGAGAAAAAATTCCAAGAATGAAAACGTTTTGAAATTGCACTCACTTTCAAAAACAATCATAAAATATGGGTCTTCCATAAGAAAAATCAAAGTTGGCGACCATATTGGAAAATGGTGGCTAAAATTATTATTTCAACCTGAACAATGTTTTTCATAACAAATCCAAGGTAGTTACGATTTAAAATTTTGTCATATCTCTTATAACTTTTGAATGGAATAGCTGGCACAGTTAACCCTGTATATTTCATCGAACATTTAAAACTACGTCTCAAATCGGCGGGGTTTGGTCTAGTTTTGTATGTAATTTTATGTACAGTTTACATTTTATGAACTGTACACATTACAATTAGAACTTTGAATATTAGATTTACTGTCCACATTAAATTTACAACAATTTACGTGCTTATGTTGAATGCAACAGCTGATCGGTCTGCACAGCAAAATCCCATAATGGTTACTTCTCCGTGCACAGAAAGTTAACATGATGTAATTTTGCCATGCAGTATCGGGAATTAGTATATTTTAAAACAAGATTAGCAAGTCTGCAAAAAATTGCATATTTGAGATCATGCTTGAATGGTCGAGAGACCCATTATTATTTTTGCTGATTACTTAAATTGCTTCTTCACATAACCTTAAAGTTGCGTTTGTGAATAGTAGTAGTGTGGTGAAATATTGTGTTCGTACCACAGACCAAAAATGGTTTTGCAGCTGTCGATCGTTTTAAGTTCTCGCCTTCGTCTCAAACCTAAAAACCCCGAGCCGGCAAAACCTCATTTTCGGCCCTAGGTACGAAATATACTATTGCCGTAGTAAACAATATAATAACAGATTTTTGCAGTTGATAAACATACAACGAAAACATGCCATTTTACAGTAGTGTAGCGAAAAACCTATTTTCTTAGCTCATTGTACGTTTTAAAAAGTGTACTTTCGTCTGTAGAGTATTAAAAAGAACATTAATTGCCAATATACAAAATATACCAGCTTCATTGAAAGTGATAAATCTGTTATTACATGTACTCATACTTGTTTACGGACAATTTCAATAGATATATTCGAAAAAACAAAAATATTGAACTACCTTTAAAAAGCCAAAAAACTAATACTCTCATTTTGTGAAATAACTTTCCAAAGTTTATAATTTAGATATGAAACAATATACAGAACGCATCAAAAAGAACATGTAGGACAAAGACAATTGATACCTAATAATTGTATGCTTTGAGTTCGTAAACCATATCTAAACTCTGCTTTGCTTAATTATTTATTTGGCTTACCTCATGCTGTGTACAGCCCACAGCCATGTAGCCTAGTAGGTTTATTTCCTCAAACTGTGTAATTGATTTAGGGGGTATTTTTTTAATTTTGTATCCCCTCCCCGTTGAAAATCATGGATATAGTGTTTATTTATTTATGTTTTTACTAGTTTAATGATAGGGTCATAAGTCCCTAAAAAGCTCAAAATAGTCAGTCTGGTCTCCCTGGTAGGGTCTCGAAGCTCAAGCACCCTCTTGCCCATATGGATGGGCGCCCATGGATACATGGTTTGGGAATTGCATACACTAGAAACGGAATTAATCTGAAAGTCAAGCTAATCCAAACCACCTGTTGTAGGAAACTAAGCTTAGGCCTATTGTAATTAAAATAAAAGCTATGTGTTCTGAAATACTGACCAGGTTATCACCGATTTTGCCTGTATTTTTTCTCTTGTAAAGGCGTGAGTGCTGTTGTAAAACATATTTAAAGTTGTATCTGTAACAGGTATCGGTAGCGAAAAGGTGTGATGCTAATAAAGAATACCATTTATTTGTTTTTTACTAATCACTGATCTTTTATGGGAAACCTACATTAAGAATTTTAACCCACCGAGTGTTAAGCGTCGCAATAAGGACATATAAGACACCCACTGCGTTGTTATAACTTGACGATTGGACTCTGAAACATTGTTTATGGCGAGGACTCTGGGACTGACTGAATCAGATTTTACTGTCCGGATTAAGAGTAGTATCATCGTTTTTGTTAGATTCTAAGATTTCTCCCGATGTCTGTTTCTAGACCCTTTTCGTGCCAATAACCGTGGTTCTAAAAATTTGTCTACTGTAAGTAAACAACATTCCGGCCCTTCCCCCCTAACGTATATGGTAGTGCACCATGTGCGTGCTACCATTCTAAGTCAGAATATTTTATTTAACTTAACTAAATAACTGAGCCAAGCCACATCTATATCACAGCCATTTTGATGATCTAAATTTAGTAATGCAATACCAATTAAACTAATAAATAAGAATAAGCTAAAAAAAACTCCTTTCGCGCCTTATGGGCCCGAAAGGCACTGTTAACTCAGTTTACATAATAGGAATATTTAATTAACGATAGAATCCCTAACCCCTTAGCCCCCCCCCCCGTACTGAAAAGAATTAGAACATGAGTTTTAAATAACTAATGATTTAGCTTAATACTATAACTTATCGATTTCATTCCCGTTCCTCGACGATGTGAACACTCCCGGGGACTCCAGGCAACGACTGAACTCCTTCTACCCCTTCCCTACTCCCTCCAGTGTTCGTGACTAAAGCAGATTGAACCGGTTGATAGCAGCGCTGCTGTGACGCGAGCGTCACAACATCGATACATAATTCACGTACGAGTCTCGTTTCCTGGAGACTCTGATCAGTATTTCAGAGCACATAGTCTATCTCTGTTCTCAGTTACGGTAACCTTCTTTCCCCATAAAGTGGTTTGGATTATCTTGACATTGGATTAGTGCCGTGTTTCTAATGTATGCCATTCTAAAAACCATACAATTAGTCAAGTTGCCTACTAAAGTTATAAATATTTTTAATTTGTGATCCACCACTCACACATATCTATTCTTGGTTAGCACTTTAAGGATTATTGGACCAAAGGTATAGTTGTAATAGTTAAAGCTTTTTCGCAAAATGGTTTGACAATTTTTCTGAGGTGTATTAATTTGTCATAGTGTCCATCTATATATTTATCAAATCACTTCTCTTCAATTAATAAAAAGAGGTTAGCAACAAGAATGAAATTGTCGCGTCTCCGCTGTCTGGTCTTCTGCTCCGGCGTCGTCACCAAGATTGTAGCTCAGCGTAGATGTCGACCTTCACCTTGTAATGGGTTATGAGGGAGAAAGTTTAATAATACGCACAAATGCAATAAACTTGTATATTAACTGGTCAATGGGCTCACAAAAGATTTAACATTGACAAAATGAGTTAATCGAAACAACGTAAAAGTATTTACTGAACAGACGCGGCATGCGTGTTGCCTGTTGCACATCTCCCTCCCGACTAACTCTCGATCACGACTACCCTTACTAGTGTTCATGCGCACTTTGGCCTACGCATAAGAAAATAGTTCCAAACTCTTTTAATAATTTTAAAATCTATATTGGATATTTTAGGCCCGTCACAAAATGTAGGCATATTGATTGATGCTAGGTAGGCTCACCAAAACCCAAACCCTGCATTGCTGCTTTGCTTTTACAGTCAACAAGGTCGCTGCAGATGTAGCTAAATAATATCATCGACGCATTGACGGTGGTGGATAGATATTGTTAAAATAAAAATTAATTATAATAATTATCATTAACATATGTTCTTCTTCTAACTTTTAGTTTCTGCCAACAGTGGTTGGAATTTCATAACAGTGTTTGTTTCCCATGTTAATCTTATGGAGAAATACGAAACTTTAAAGGACCTCTGGGCCTCACTCTCTAATTATTTCCCTAAGCAGAAAGTTTCCTGCACAACTTCACGTTACGCTCTTTCCAATGATACAAAAACATGCCAATCGGTTCAGTAGTTTCGGAGGAGTAATTGTCACAAAAAACCTGCTTGCGTATTAAATAAGTAATAGATTTCACTATTAAACGAGCCACTGACTGTAGAACAGCGTTTAAATGAAGAATGAAAGTTTTCTTAGCGGTTTTTTATAAACTTTCTTTCCTTATTTTGTTTTAGAAGTTGGACCGGGAGCATCAAAAAGTGGAGCCTACAAGAACCCGGAATACTTCTGCTACAACACTACATCCTACTTTGAAGCTGAAGTTGAAATGTTGAAGTACAGACTACCACAGCCATCGGCTAAAAAGTAAACTGTAAACAACATATTGTAGAACTAGTCTTGTTTGTTTTGAATCTGTTAAATAAAAATTTGCCAACACAAAGGTAAAGTTATTGTCAATTTCATTTTTAAACTTTTAGCGTAATATCAGTATCTTAAGGGATTATTTCTAACTAACAGTTAGTGGACGAGTTATTTTTTATCATTAGATAGTTTTATTTGGTTTTTAAACGAGGTTTTAAATAACTGAAATAACAAGAAACAAATTGTAAACAAAACACAACATCTAGGCCTACAGAAAACCGGACGGAACTAACAATAAAATTGGCTTCATCTGTTCCATAAAGATGGGAAATCTACTAAAGGACTATGTTTTATCTATGATGAAACACCTTGGAATCGGCAAAAATTAGTAGTGTAGATGTTATAAATTAACTAATTTTTTACAGCCTTCAAATCTTGAAAATAGGTAGAGAGCTTGGAAATAATCCCTTCATACAAAGAGTATAGTTTCAAAACTAATATTTGGTTGTTTATATTATTTATTAATATTTATAACGTTCATTTTGGATAAAAACTGGAAACGAGACATGAAAAAGTTAGTCAACTACTAACATTGTCTTTTTTTGGTGAGAGAAGTTTTATCTGTGGTAAAGTTGTAGATAATTAAATATATTTTACTGTTTGTATCAAACTTTTTTTCTATCAGACTTAGTTTTGTCAAAATTTTGGGTTGAACAGAGCTGCAAATCCTCGTTTGAAGGGTCCGTCGGGTGTTTAGCCACCAGCGGCTGTCGTAGCATCGCATTTGCATACCTAATTACTGCAAGTCGACTGAATTATTCCAAGCAGGTCTAGCCTGAAGTAACGTGAAAAACAAATTTGATTATTTTTTTTTTCTTTATTCATTATGTCATTACATCATTCGACAGGACATAAAGTCATATACAGGATAATACTAAAACTAAGAAATAACAAAAAAAGTCTTACTAAATTATTAATCTAACTTAATGTCCCTATTTAAATAACATTCGATAGAAAAAAATTTGTTGTTTTTAACCAGGTCTTCAGGGTGGATCTGAACTGTGTATTACAATTAAAATTTTTTTGCGGAGTGGTAACTTATTGTAAACTTTTGGAACTTTTGGTAAATATTGGGGAGATAAATGAAATTTCTCTAATCTGTGGGTTTCAGGCGTAATATAACTCTTAAATCTAGTGTGATGGGAATGAATGGGTTGGGTTATGAATGAGGACAGATAGTCTTTAACCCAATTTGAAATGTCTAAAATATAGTGATCATAAAATGTTAAAACTGAAAATGTTTGAAAAAGACTTTTACAAGGAGTTCTACGAGGAACTCGCCCAATAATTCTAATTGCTTTTTGTTGAAGTTTGAATATTTTGTTGGAGTGGCATGAGTTTCCCCAAACCAGAATACCATATGTCATTATTGAAGAAAAATAAGCATGATAAACAATAAACTGAGTCTTTAAATTAACAGCTTGTCTGATTACGTGAAGAGAGAAAATACAGGGTTATTCTAAATGATGGACCCATTTTTAATGCTTTATAATTTTTATACTATTAAACTTACCGCTATAAAATACACATCAAACGAAAAAGCAACTCAAAGAGTTTATGCCTTCCAAAGACACATCATTTAACAATATCGATCCAACAGAACTGTAGATTTAATTGTACAAAGTTAAAAAGTAATCTCCAACTTTTTTTACCACTAGAAATTTGGAGGTTACATGACGTTTTTGCAAATAACTTTTAAATGGTGAGGAATTCGGCCAAAGTGGAGGGTATTATCCCGAAAGAGAATAAAATTCCCTACAATCTACTATTATGCATTTTTTGAAAATACTCAAGAAAGGTACCTACTGTCGGGGAAAAAAGTTTAGGCACTCGAGTTTGGAGCTCTACAGAAAAGTAACCAACTTACTTAGAAAAACGCGTAGTATATATAAATTTTCATTGTTTTTTTCTACGTATTCCTGTGAAAAAAAATAATTTTTAGCTCGTTTAGGAAATTTTTTATGACAGTCGGAAGGAAAAAACTGCATGTTTTTAGAGTACCAAAAACCATCATATGACTTTGAAAATTCGCACAATGTAAACTAAACGGCAGAACTTTATCAAACTTTAATACAATAGTGACACATATATAATGAATTAATTTGAGTAGTTTCAGAATTTTTACTCTACCCAAAAAGCCTTTGTTGTAACTTTTGTAAATAAACTTTTTCTCAAAGACGGCAAACGCTAGAAAAAAAATGTAAGTGTACTCGACGGTTCCTAGGTATGATCAATTTCTATCGTAGATTCTTGTCTAAAGCTGCAGAACTCCAAGCACCTTTATACTCTCTGCTTGGTGGTGCAAATAGCACGGGATCACTTCCTGTGCCTTGGACCCCAGAGACTGAGGAAGCATTTCAAGCTTGCAAGTCTAGTTTGTCGACAGTGACACTCCTATTTCATCCGAAACATGACGCCCCTCTTGGGCTGTTTACAGACGCCTCTGACGTTAGCGTAGGAGCTTGCCTTCAACAATTTGTTGAGAACTCCTGGCAGCCACTTGGATTCTTCTCTAAGAAACTTTCACCAAAGCAAAGCTCTTGGCCGGCGTACTACCATGAACTTCTTGCTGTGTATGAAGCAGTACAGCATTTTCATAATTTTTTGGGAACCACCACATTAACCATTTTTACTGATCATAAGTCACTCATCTTTGCTTTTCATCAACGTCTTGAGAAACTTCCACCTGCTCAAGTACGTCAGCTTTCATTCATATCCGAGTTTTCTACAGACATAAAACACATAGGAGGTTCAGAAAACATTGTTGCCGATGCTTTATCATGCTATTTTTTTGTAGAGGCTATTTCATGCATTTTTTGGATCCTGAGTCAATTGCCAAAGCACAAAGCTCAGAAAACAAACTCATAAACCTCATAAACAATAACAATTCATCTCTCAAAATACAGAAGATCCAAATCCCTGGAACTAACTCATTCATCTTTTGTAAGACTTCAACAGGGAGCCAATGACCTTATATTCCAGTTGAACTATGGAAGAGGGTATTTCATTCGCTACATGACCTCAGCCACCCAGGCATTAAAGCTACTGCAAAGCTTAGAGCAGATCGATTTGTCTGGCCAAGTATTCAAAAAGATTGTTGTAACTGGACTCGTACTTGTGAGCGATGCCAACGTTGCAAGGTAACACGACACGTTCATACTCCTCTAGGAACATTTTCTTTGCATCATCACGTTTTGAGCACATCCATGTGGACATAATTGGGTCTTTACCCAAACCAGCAGGACCATACAAATACTGTCTTACAGTCATAGACCGTTACACTAGGTGACCTGAGGTTCATCCTTTAAAGGGGATTACTGCAGAAGAAGTCGCTGAAGGACTAGTCTCGTGCTGGTTTTCTCGTTATGGTACTCCTTCAAGAATAACTGATCAAGGTCGCCAATTCGAATCATCCCTCTTCAAGACTCTTGGAAAAACTTTCGGCTCTGAAAGAATCAGGACTTGCAGTTACCATCCCTGTGCCAATGGATTGGTGGAGGGATTCCATCGTCATCTCAAAGCTTCACTGGTGTGTGATCACGATTCATCCTGGCTGGAAGCTCTCCCAATTGTTTTCCTAGGTATAAGAAGTGTGTACTGCGAGGATCTTCAAGCATCAACGGCAGAAATTGTTTTGGACAACAGTTGAGACTTCCAGGAGAATTGTTTGATCTCTCTGTTGAAGGACCCAGGCATGAAGATCCTACTGATTATGTTGTATGACTCTGTCAACACATGTCTTCAATCAAACCTGTCCAAGCTTCACGCCACGTCAATCTCAAAATATTGATATTTCAGGATCTTAGAAAGTGCACCAACGTTTTCCTAAGATACAACTCTGTGAAACGTGCTCTACAGCCTCCCTACAACGGACCATATCCTGTAATTTCTCGTGGTGAAAAATCCTTAGTAATATCACAGAATGGCAAACAAGTGCGAGTGAGCTTAGACAGGGTGAAGCCTGCATATGTGTTACCTGACAAATGTAATCATCCAATAATCAAAGAGCCTCAAAATATACAATCTTCGAACACATCGATCAAACCTCCAAACCCGGTCATCATTGTTCAGAAACTATACAACTCGATCTGTTCGAAATGTAAAGCTCAAGCTTCCTCGACTTCCAGTCTCTGTGGGGGGCTGATGTGGCGTCAACTTAGCCACATCTGTGATGCCTTTGGTCTATACTTAATTGAATATTTATTATGTTACAGCTGTTGCTAGATTGTTAAAAATGTTCAGTTTTGACTATGTTATGATTCAACACACTTCTTCATTCGTAAATGTAGAAACTTGTAAATAAAACTTATAAAATATTTCTTCATATAGTGGTAATATTATTTCTTTCAGATTAAACATCACTATATAGTCAGAGAAATATAGGATATGACCTTAAAAAAATTGCAAGAAAACGTTTTATGATTTTATTTTGTAGTGTTGGGTTTGCAGAATGACATACTAAAAGTTGCAAAAATCGGTGCACGAGAAAACCACTAAAATCAAAATTTAAAATGGCGGCTTTCACCAACATTGGACAAAATTAAAAAAATATATTTCACATGCATTTGTTATGCACATCTTTCGAGATATTGACTTGGGACTACCTCCTGTATTAATTAGGTGGTTAGTACTTCATTTTGATAGGGAACACTTTTTGTCCACCATCTTGGATCCGCCATATTGGACATAGATAATTTTTTTTCAATGTAATGATAGTGTTGTGACACACATTACAAACTAAATTCTTACACTGATTTCAATGCTGAAATCCGTTTTTCAATATCTTTTTTTTCATTTAGAAGATATACTCAAACGAAAACTCTCCCCCATACATTTCTTATGGACGTTTCGTAGTTTGATATTAAAAAAAAAATATTTTTCTTATATCTCTAGTTCTTATTAACGGTTGTAGTCCGTACTAGGCTTAAAATATTCAGTAATGTAAGCACTTTCATTCGAGACCTTGAGTAATAAAATCAGACGAGTTAAAGACCAGCTACGAACCTCAGAACAATATTA